GACCGTGAGACGCAGGCCCCGTCACTCAGTCCTGGGGCCCGTCCTCACCACACGGCCTCAGTGGCGGGTCAGACCCGGCGGCCCTGGGGACGGGCTCCTGGATGCCTTTCCACAGGGGCCAGAGTTTCCTCTGAGCCCTGGGCTAACAGCATGAGACACGGAGCAACCCCAGCCCCTGGGGGCCCAGAGCTCTGCTCCCTCGTGGGTGACAGGCCAGGACAGTCTCCAGGGTCCCTTCACTCCCTGGCTTCTCTGCTGGGAGGGGGCTGGGAGCCAGGATTCCTGGGTTCTGTCCCTGGCTCTGGGAGGGAGTGGGAGGTAGTGGTTAGAGCAGGGGAGGGGCTGGCTTGGGGCCAGGATTCCTGGGTTCTGTCCCTGGCTCTGGGAGGGGAGTGAGGTCTAGTGGGGAGAGCAGGGAGGATGGGGGCCAGGACTGCTGGGTTCTGTGCACAGCACCACCACTGACTTGTAGGGGACTGTGCAAATCTCTACTATACACTGAGGTTTATAACTTTCAGCTCCGCCCATCACCCCGTAACTGATGTGTTGCTTGGGAAAGGCCCCCCCACTCTGCAGCTCCCCCTGGGGGCAGGGATCCCCCCTCCCTCAGCCCTGAGTCTCCAGTTGCTGCTTCTCCCCACTGGCTGGAGAACCCCCCAGTGACTCCATCCCTGCTCCCCGGCCGGGCGTCCGCACTGCTGGGCCCAGGGCTCAGGGCAGAGCCTGCCTCTGAGCATCCCATTGTGCAGAGACCCCCTGTGGGTCTGGCTGGGTGTGGGGCTGGGAGCCGGGACGCTGAGCCGGGCCCCTCACCTCCTACAATGATTCTGATGGGGTCACTGAGATACGACCAGGGATTCTGTTCTGCTATGGAGCGATAGTCGCAGGTGTAGCTCCCTCCATCTTCCCGGCTGAAACTGGCGATGGGAAATTCAGCCACGGTCCCATCAGGCACCGTCCGCACCTGCAGGTTCGGGTGTCCAGCTTTACGCAGAAAGAACTCCATGCCCGGGTACAAACCCTCACAGCGGATGGTGACGTTTCCCGCGAGCGCCACCACCCTGCTGGGGCTCACCCAGATGGTGGGTTTGAGAAATTCACGTCCTGCTTTCAAAGAGAGACAGGAGATAAACAAGGGAGACACAGCCCCTCACTTCCCCCACCTCAATTCAGTCCATCCGTCATTTGGCCTTGGGGGGGCTCATTGAACCAGGGGACAGTTCCTCTCTGCTTCGTCAGACCCCGGGAGCCAGATTCGACTCCAAGTTACTCCATGCGGGGGGGTTGGGGGGGCACAAAAGAACGGGGCCGGATCTGAGCTCACAGGGGGAGTTTGGGTTGAGTTTTGGGGAAGGTTCAGGGCTCAGTTTCTCTTCCTCCCGCTGATCCCGGACCCTTTCTGATGTTAATATCCTCCCCACAGACTGATACTCACCTCCCAACTCCCAGCTGTGCACGGGCAGAGAGCAGCCTGAAAAGGAAATTGGTGTTAGGGACCAGATCCCAGAGCACCTGGATCCTACACCCTGGTCCCACATCCCCCCCATGGACACCAGCCCTGGTCTCAGATCCCACCTTATGGGCACACGCCCTGGCTGTCTCCGATACTCACCGAGGAGGAGGACGGTGAGAGCAGACGCCATGATGGTGCAGTGGGGACCCCTCAGGGCTGCCACTAACACCCCGGTGCCCAGCTCCACCCAGCCTGAGGCCCGAGTGTGAGCGGAATGAAGAACTGCACCGGGGGCTGCAGCCCCAGGAAGCACGTGATGCACTCGGCCCCTTTCCGCGCCATCAGATGGTTTCTCTGCAATCTCCAGCAAAATCTACTGTGGTCAGAGCAAAGCCAGATCCCTGCAACACCCAGCAAACCACATCCCCTCCTGCAGCTGCCCAGCCCCCTCCCCATCACCTCCGAGCCCCACACGGGAGCTGCCCAGTCCAGGGACTAGCTGGGAATGAGGCAATCTCAGGAGGCCTCAAGAGGTGCCCAGCTGCCCTGACTTTTTCCAACAGTCCCGTCTAGCCTCCCTGGAGCAGCAGCTCAGAGTAGAGGAGGGCTCTTTCTCCTCCCCGCTCCCTAAAGTAGCATCCCTCTCCCATAGACTAGATGACCTCTTGAGGTCCCTTCCAACTCTGATATTCTATGAAGTGGGACAGAGATTCCTTCCTGACCCGGCTGGGCCCAGTGCCTGCCCTGGAGCATGAGGGTGGAGGGACCTGGCCAACCTCCTTCCCAGGTAGTGTTGCTGCACAATCTATTTTTAGCCAAGTGACATGGCACAGAGACAGGACTGGGGCCTGGGAGAGTGGTGGTTTCTGGCCTCCATGAGGGTGCGAGAAATGGGTAAATTTAGATCCTGAGTTGTTAAAGGAACAGCCGTGTAATCCGCAAAAGGGG